CCATTTTGCCAGGTGGGACAGTTTGCAATTTAACTCATGCCTTTGCTCTCCTGCCCTACGATTCACGCCRCGTCCTTGGATAATCCATTTTTCTTTATTTTCTTCCCTTAAAAAATAAACCAAAAATGCAATGTTTAAATTTCCTGCTGGTAGACAGAGGTTGCCAGCCACAGATCACCAGATTTCGGATTTCAGCTGAATATTGCCCCGCACGTCCCCACCAGTGAACCACCAGTGCCGCCTGTTGCACTTGGCCGTGCAGAACACAAATGCCAGTCGAGGAATTCCAATTCCCGCTGCTCTTGGARTTACCTGGTGTGCATGGGTGACCCTTGGGATCAGGCAGGGATCCCCATCACCCCAGGCAGTTTTCCGGCCTTTTCTCGGGATTTTTGGAGCGCTCAAGGGCTGCGGGAGCGAGGATGCAGCAGAGCCAAGTGCACGGCTGGTGCCTGAGTCGCTCGTGAAGTGGATGCCCGGGATAACTCCCAGCCTGGGCCTCCGGACACGTCCCGTCCCGGGAGGAATGTGAGGCAGCTCCCGCCGTTCCGAGGAGCCTGGATGCCTGCACGGGACGGAAGGACACGTCAGGAACAGGCTGGTCTGGGGGCTTCCCGGAGCCGGGGCTGCCTTCCCAGGACACGGCCTCCCAAAGAGGATCCRAGCCCGTGGGTGGCCCGTCTGGCATGGAGAGAGACAGCCAAGGGTCAGCAGATCTTCACGGAGCAGCTCCTTCCTCCCAGCAGCATGGGAAYAAGGGGAGCGCTGTTTTGGGAGCCACTTCCAGGAAAACGGCATCCGACGGCTCTCCGGACACCTCGAGGATGCTCCTGAGTGCATCAGGATGTTGAGGATGGGGATGTTGAGGTCCCACCAGCCCGTGAATGGCCTGACTTGGAGCTCACTTTGGGGCAGGACGGGCTCTGGGAAGGACTGGTGCTCCTGCCAGCCTTGGAGCCCATTCCATGGATGATCCAGAGCAACGCATAACCCAYCCTTTGCTGAGCCCGGAGCTCAGTTCCAGACTCGTGTTTTGGGAAAGCTCCTTCTCCCAGCACCCTACAAGTGACCACAGGAGCCTGTGGAGCCATTCCCATCCCAAGGCTTGCTCGTGCGCAGCGCTTTTCCCAAAACACAAGGATTTCTCCCCAGCCAGACTGCGATTCCTTGACTCACCCGACCTCGGATGCTGCCCGCAAAGCAGGAGCAAGGGAGGATTTCACGCTGCTCCAAGCAGGTGCCGCCAGCCCCTGGACTTGGCAGGGAAAGGGGACGTTGGCCACGTCCTGCAGCTCGGCCAGCCCTTGGCCAAGCCTTCCCGCTGCTATTGCAGCTTGCCAGGCTTTACGTAACGTTTGCAAGAGCTCGGGAGAAATCCGGGTCGGCCTTTGGGATCAGAGAGTGCAAATAGTGTGTTTTGGTCTCAAAAAGTGCGGCGGGGTGTTTGGGACTTGGGAAGCTCCTTCCAAGCAATCTATGATGTTATTAAGGCTAAATAAATCAATAAATGGAATAATACAGGCTCCTTGCAAAGTTTTCCCTTCCACCCCTTGCTGTGCATCCCAGTACGGGGCTGGTGCCTCGTGCATCCCAGAAAACCACCGCAAACGCTGTTTCCCRTTGTTTTGACTGCACCGCTCGCTATTTACATTGCTCTCCCCTTATCAGCATTCCCAAGTTGTCTTTCCACAAGGAGCGAAAATACGAACCTCGGATGCGTCCGAGCGGGCGCTGGGGAGCGTTTCCCGGGGGCTCCCCGTTTCCCGCTGCTCCCGGGGCTCGTGCAGAGCAGAGCAGCCGTTGGGTGCAGCTCATCCGCCCTCCGGCCCCGCTGGAAGCCCCGGAGCAGGAAGCGCTTTGGCATCGTCTCCGATRGTGCTTGGCCTTGGAGAGGACCTTGTCCCAAGGACCTGAGGCTGCAGCCTCATGGGGGGAACAGTTTCTACGCCTTAATGTCCATGCAGAAACAGAGGCTGCCCCTTGTTTGAGTGCCTGRCTGTGCCTGGTGCCAGGTTTGGATCCCATGGGTTTCAACTCCAACCCCCTGGTTGGAGACCCGCATGGATGGAGACCACATCCTGGACCATGAACTGTGGTCAGTTCTGTTCTCCACGTTTCCCTCTCCTGCTGCTTCTCTGTGCCGGCAGGCATTAGGTTCCAGAGTTAACAGCCCCCCTGCAGCATGCAGAGGGTCCAGCTAGGACCCTACCGCCTTATCCAGCTGGGATAAGACAGGAGGATCCCTGAAATCCTTGTGTGCCGGCACCTCAGATGCTGCCCAGGGCTCTGCAAGAAGCCAAAACGAACGGAGGAGAAATAACAAAAATGATAATAAAAATAATAATAATAAAAGCACAAAGTCATGAAAAAACAACCCTGCGCCTTTCGCCGTGCCCGGGCGCAGACCTTTGTGTTCCTGATGGGTGAATAACTTAGAGCAAGACGATGTATTTATAGCAACCAGCTCATGAGTTTTTAATTAAAATTCCATTTTCTCTTGCTCCAGATGGCACGAGCGGCCGCCCGGGTGTTTTCAAAGGGTTTCCAAAGGGCTCGCGCGGCCCCGGACGGGCCGGGAGGGTTTGGGGGTGCGGAGGGGGTTCTGGGGGGCTTGKCTTGGCCGGGCAAGCGGAGGGCGCGGGATGCTGCTCATCCTCATCCTCCTCATCCTCCCGCCACGGGCAAGTGCCGGAGGGGAAGGAGTCCAAATAARTTTGGTCTCACGGAGACCAAATAAATAGCGGGGTGGCCGTGGGGCCAAGGCACCGCTGGCTCCTGAGATGCCATCAAGGGCTTTGTGGCTTGTCCTGCTCGGCAGTGGCAGGGCCCGGGTGGCCTCGCTCGCTCCCGGGGAGCAGTGGGAAGAGCCCAGCCTCGCCCGGCACGTCCCGCTGGGTTGGGGACAGCACTTTCGGGCCAGTTCGGGGCAGATAAAGCAGGCTGGGAGCTGCGGGATCGCTGCCTCCCGGGAGGCCGCCGCCGAGGGACACGTTAGCGCGGCCTCCGCGCGGCCTCCCCTGCGCCACGGCGGGGTGGCATCCGCTCAATCCCCTCCGCCGGCGGGGCCGGCAGCTCCGGCGCCTGCTCCCCGCGGCCCCTGCTTGCGTCGGAGCCCRGGATGCGCTTCCCCCTCCCGAGCGCGCCGGGAAGGAGGGGCCCAGGCGTCCTGCGGCTGCGGCGCGCGCGCGTGCCGCCCTTGGCCGGCTGCTGGCCCCAGGGACCCGCAGCTGCGCCAAGCGGCTGCTCCTCGCAGCAAAGAGGCACGAGCGAGCGGTTCACGGTCCCGTTTGGAGCACCTGTGCAAATGCACCTATATAGACATATACATATATGTAATGCATGTGTGTGTGTGTGTTTCAATGCATGAAACACAGGCATGGGGGTGAATGCATGCGTGTGATTGCATGCACGGTGTGTGTGCACGGTGTGTGTGTGTGTGCACGTGGGGGTTGGAGGTGTGCGCAGTGCGGCTGTGCGTGTGGCCGCCTGTTGCTGCGGGTGTTTGAGTGTGCGCCGTGCGCTTGTGTCCGTGCACGGGGCCTGTCCGCCTGTGCATCCCGTGGCTGCGTGCGTCCGTGCAGGGAGTGTGTCCGGGTGTCTGTGAATGGGGTGTGCGGCAGTGCCCACAGTGCTGGTGCAGATGTGGGTGCCCAGTGTGAGTTGGTGCTGGTACCAATGCAGTTAATGGTGCAGATGTGAGTGCAGCTGGGGGTACTGGTATCGGTGCTGGTACTGGTGCCAGTGCAAACATCCTTTGCTGTGGGTGCAGTGGCCAGTGCAGGGGGAGGTGCCAGCCTGATTGTCAGTGTGGGTACTGGTACCAGTGCCGGTGCTGGTGTGGACACTGGTACTGTCCTGATTGCCACTGGTGGTGCAGGTGCCAGTACCAGTGCAGGTACTGGTGCTGGTGCCAGCCTGACTGTTGATGTGCTGGTGCCGGTGCCAGTGCTGGTACCAGCACCAGTCACCCTGCTGGTACTGCCCTGGTTGCCTGTGTTGGTGCAGGTGCCGGTACCAGTGTTGGTGCTGGTACAGGTGCCAGCCCGATTGCCGGGGTTTGTGCCGGTGCCGGTTCCAGTGCTAGTGCCAGTACCAGTGCAGTCACTGGTCGCGCTCCAGCAGCCAGTGCAGGTGCCGGTTCCAG